TTTCAGGGTCTGTGATAATGTGAGAAGTGCTTCCTGCCGGATGCTTTCTCTACCCAATGTTTTGTGATTCATCCAAATCCTATACTTTATATAAGATTTGCATGCAAAAGCACCAATATTAATCCAGACACCTAATGAACCTGGGAACTTGCTGCAGATATGTTAGATGAGACTGAATTCCAGATTTGGCATGAATATAATTGCCATTGTTTTCATAATTTTGTCATTTACATTGGATTATGTCCAACCAGACATAACATGGTGTTTAGTGAAAAACCCTACAAGTAATCAATTCAGATAAAATAAATAAATCATCTTATTTTGTATTTTAGTTTATTTTGTGACATACTAAATTGTTTCAAAATTCCACAGAAGCAATGTAATGTACCTTTGAGACATAACATATTTGTTCGTATAAGTAATGTATTAATCATATTTAATCTTTACACATTTCAAAAATAACTGCATTTCAAAGAAAATAACAAGAAACAAGTTCAAGGTATTGGTGCCCTAAATATTAAACTCAGAGAGAATGATGAAGTAAAGTAAAATACAAGTGTATATTTTTTTTTATTTCACTTAAACTTACAATATATGGAATTTCCTAAACCTTCCTAACAAACTTGTGATTTAATCAACTAGTGAAAACTCTAAGATAATGGTAGAGATCATCTAAATAATCATAATTATGAGAAAAGGCTCCACAGAGATTATTCTTTGCTTATAATCAATAGTATTAATATAGCATTAACATAGCATTAACATACACCACAGTGCTTTACCAGAAAGGGGTAAAGGTGAAGAAGGCCCAATTCAAATGAGCTTATTAGCTATGAGGACTTGATTTAGGCAGATATATATCATTAGGTATCTTGCCCAGGGACACTTACTAGTAAGCTGGTCTGATTCAAACCTGGATTTCCTGGGATCTTATCCAAATGTACCTGAAACTATTAGGAATCTAGCAAAGTACGGACTTAAATACCCCCAACTGGTATAGAACAGAAGGTGTGATGTGGTGTAAAAACAAACAATGAAATGTTTTTGTCAAGCTCGATAAAGGCCCCTTTGTGGGTGTCGAAGTGGTTGCAATGTTTGTTACTGTCCAATAAAGCTGCTTGAATTGATGGAGTGCCTGGGCCAACTACTGATACCTTGAAGACAGAGAAGAGAAGGAAAAGTGCTATATACACAAGGCTCAAATGGTGCCTACTAATACTGTGGTAATAAATTAGTAGAGAGATTTCTCAGAACACTAGACTCAGTACCTCAGCATGTGAAATAAATTAAAATGCCTACTGTTACCATGGGCAGTAAATCGGAATGTCCAAGTTATATAGGATTATGTATCTCGGCATAGAAGGGAAATTCAAAATACTACAATTACCTACAATAACCTTTGCAAGAGAAAAGAAAAGGTACTGCCACTGCCCTGTTCAAAATCTCCCAAAAATATCTCCTTCTAACATATTATCAATTTTCATGGTCAATTGGGAGAGAGTTTCCAGAGTTTGACCTATTTGTACTACCTGCATTTGAGTCTAAATCCATCCAGGGTCAAATACAACTCAGTTACCTCAGCACACAAATATAGTTTGTGTGCCTATATATTCAAAGGCTGTCTAGACCATAGAAATACAACTGTGTACAGTAAAATCTAAGTGCTATCCATATCTGTCCATCTAATATAAAGATAGACAGATAAAGATCCCCCTTGAAGAAGGCTAGATGCCAAAACATTGGGGTTACTATATCTACTGCTCTGGGTTAGCATGCCTATATTATTATTGATTTGTGGGTTTCATTACTGAGCGCTTATCTTTATATCTGATATGTATGTAGGTATATCATTTAATGTTTCCATGCCTATATTGTGGTTTGCACTTTATATGTACAATTTTTTATCAAATCACTGAATAATACAAATCTTTTTATTTGCAAGTTTAATCTGGTGTGCTTTGGGTTATTCTCTATTATGTGCATGGATCTAGTGGGGGAACAGATTTTACCATAAAGCACCCAGCACCCCTTTCACCATACTATCATCGATATTAAGGTTGAGCGCTCACTATATAATTGTATATAATATAAAGAAAAATTCCTGATGTGCATTTCGGTGCATATAATCTATCTAAAAAAAAGGGCATTTATTTGGGGTGTTACAATTTACTTTCACTGATTATGGAATAAATACAACCCAAAACTTGGCAATCTACCAAAATGTAGGAGGCAGGGTATGTGTGAAAAGACTTCCATATGACATGATAAAACTACTTCAAAGCTGGTACCTTGAATAGGAAGGAGTACTCCAAAGTTGCTGCCTGGAATGGTAGGACTAGACACTCTTATAGAGGCGACTTAAAAGTCCAAAAGTGTCAAACTGAAATGTAACTATTTATAAAGATTTTTACAACCAACAATTATTACAATCCGCTGATCCTTCATAACCGGTGAATAACTAGACAAGAACCAATCAATTTGTGCAGTGTCCTTAAAACACCATTACTATATTGTTATTGAAAATGATTCTGCTAAGTAAGGTTAAGGTTAGGTAATGTTAATGGTTGAGGTAAAGGTTTAGGTTAGGTTTTTTAGGGTGAAGGAAGCATTAGGAGCATTTCGGGATAAGGTGCAGGGTGTTAGAATTAGTGGGGGTTTAGAGTTAGCTGAAGATATGGTTAGGGTTGGAGGATTTTTAATCAAGGCGCAAGTGGAATTAGTGCATACCTGCCTTCAAGATGCTTTGAACTGTATATTCAGAATTTTTAGCCAGGTGCATTTTTAACTTGACTTTATTAAGTCAATATTTCTAAAGTGATTTATTTAATTTACCATAATATATTTTAATTTTATTTGTGACATAGTGTATAAACTGATATTATAACTCTAGCTTCTTACTTAATGTTGTGCATCATTATACCAATTGCACAGTTTAGCATAAAATACAGCCCATGACCTTGTTGATGTTCCTTTTTGGATAAACAATAAGCAGTGCTATTATCACTATTTTCTATCTTATGATGAGATTGAATGTGCACACATATTTTTCTTTATTAAGACTAACTTAATTGCTATCATCAATGTCGTATTTTAGTGGATTTTAATTTTATTCTTCATTGATGTTTTTGAAAACCTTTTTGTTTTCATCTTGCAGGAAATAAGCATGTACCTTTTAAAAGCTCTACAATACTGCAGTATTACATTTTGTTGTGAATGCTTTTGGGAAAATTGACTCATTAAAGTGGTTACTTTTCTTCAATGAAGAAGAAATAATTGAAAGAAGAAAATGAGATAATTGAGGTAGCTCTAAATGAAAGTGTCCTTGATTTAAAGTCATTTGGAATCACTCGGCTTACATTAGAGATCCTTTGGTACAATTGGAACACAGTGAAATGGAAAGAAAAATATTCAAGTACAAAAGGTAATTGGAATTATTCACAAGAATGTAGCATTAGAAATGTTGTGCAATATGTGAAAACTGGATACCTTTAAAAAGAAAATTAATTCACTCATTTGTAAGTTAAAACAGAAAAAAATATTGTAATGTAAACAAATCTTTCAGGATTTTCTGGCTAATTAACTAAGATATAAATGAGGATAATTGTCAGGATCCTATCCTGACAACCAATATATTGTTTTATTTTATTCTGTTTTATTACTTCAATACCTGTTTCTACCCTAGCCACTAGACAAACCTTAGTCACTCTCACCTGCATAGCATAATGATTAAATCTGCTATAAAAGGCCACACCTGACTAAACCAAACTACCTTCACAATGAGAGAAGGTATTGTTCTGAACATGACAAGTCTTCTGCTCCTGGGTCAAACAGGGAAACCTGCTTAAATCTAATTTACTTTGAACCATTTTAATCAACTCATCAAACCTGCTTGTTTCCAGTCAGCTCTTCTCAAAGAAGCTTGGTAAAACAAAACCTGATCACCAATATCACCCTGCTTTAATTCTTACTGGACTCTTAATACAAATTTAGCTTATTGCTTTTGTTCTACTGAACATTTAACCGGATCCATTCCTGGATAATGCTGAACATCCACACTTGATTGCCTCTATCCTAAGTATCTTTGCTGCAATACCGGTATCTATAACTGCATTACTGCCTTCAACCAAAGGACTCTGATTTACTAAATGTCTATTTAACCTGATTTCATTATACTTTCATATTCTGTTAATCTCTATTCTATTATATATCGTTTGCTTCTTACCTATTATATCTCTTATAGGTTTTTCCCTTCTTGTTACACCTGTTACCTGATAAACTACATGGGGCATATTCCCTAATTCCTTATGTATCCTGGGGCATATTGCTTTACTCATTATTTCTATAACCACTCCTTCGTCTTTCAACATATAATCCCGTTTGTAGGTTCTCCTTCTTCCTCCTAACCTATTAATTCACTTATAGGTTTTCCTCTTACTTATCTGTTATCCCTTTTATAGGTTCTGCTTTCTCCCTCTGTCTCCATTGTCCTTTTCTCTCTTTATCTTGTTACTCTTATTGTTTCCTTGTCTAAACATGTCAAACATTTAAAATAAAGAAATTCAAGTCAACCTCAGCATAAGTCTCCTCTCTGACCTGCTCAGAAACATGACAGAAATTAAATAAATATGTATTTTTAGATTTGATTGAAAATTTTAACTTTTCAGTTTCTATGAAAACAATTTGGCTATCCCACAAAGAATTAATATAATAACTAAGTAGCAAGATTTCAACAAACAAAAAAATAACAAAATTTATATATATATATATACCAAGAGGAGGCACACTCAAGGATTTGTTAAAAAAATAAGTATTTGCCTGATTATTCAACATAATAGAATCAATGTTTCAGTCTCAGTAAGAGACTTATCATTTTCAATACAAATACTTGAGTGTGCCTCTTCTTGGTAGATGGATGTTTTTTTGCACAAAGGTGTATATATATATATATATATATACTGCGGATGTGTTTGGAGGGGAAAGGAACCGGGAATGTTAGAACTATGAACCAAGGCAAATTGGATGTGATCAAACATGAGTTGACAAGGTTAAACATCGAAATCCTGGGAGTTAGTGAACTCAAATGGACTGGAATGGGAGATTTCACATCAGACAACCATCACATCTTCTACTGTGGTCAAGAATCCCACAGAAGAAATGGAGTAGCCATCATAGTAAATCATTGGGTGGGCAAAGCAGTGCTCAGCTACAACCCAATAAATGACAGAATGATTTCAATTCAAATTGAAGTCAAGCCATTTAACATCACAGTGATACAAGTTTATGCTCCAACCATGGATGTTGAAGAGGCTGAAATTGACCAGTTCTATGAAGATAGAAGATATTCAACACATGATAGATATAACACCAAGAAAAGATTTTACTATCCTATAGGAGACTGGAATGTTAAAGTAGGGAACCAGAAGACACCTGGAATAACTGGAAAGCTTGACCTTGGAGTTCAAAATGAAGCAGGTCAAAGATTAGTAGAATTCTGTCAAGATAATTCTCTGGTCATAGCAAACACCCTCTTCCAACAGCCTCCGAGGCGACTCTACACATGGACATCACCGGTGGACAATATAGAAATCAATTTGACTATACACTTTGCAGCCAAAGATGGAGGAGCTCTATACAGTCAGCAAAAACAAAACCTGGAGCTGACTGTTTGGAATTAAACTGAAGAAAAGAGGGAAAACCATGAGAACAATCAAATACAACATAAATAATATCCCTTGTGAAAATGCAAGGGAAGTAAAGAATAACCCAGGAAAGCCCAGATAAAAAGGAAAGCAAAAGGTAGTGGAGATTGTAAAAAATGTATCCAACTGAATGCAGAATTCCAAAGGATCACAAGAAAAGACAAGGAGACATTCTACAATGAGCAATGTAAAGAGATAGAAGAAGATAACAGAATGGAAAAGTCAAGAGATCTATTCAAGAAAATTGGAGATCGAAAAGTTACCTTTCATGCAAAATTGGGTGTGATAAAAGACAAAAATGGCAGGGACTTAACAGAAGAAGTTCAGATAAAGAAGAGATGGCATGAATACACTGAAGATCTATACAGGAAGGATTTTAACAGCATTGATGACCTCAATAGTTGGTCCAATGAGCTGGAACCAGAAATCTTTGAGAGCGAAGTGAGATTGGCCCTAGGATGCCTTGCAGATAACAAAGCTGCAGGAGTTGATGAAATCCCAATTGAACTAATCAAAATTCTGCAACTGATGCGTTGAGATTTCTGCTTGCCTTATGCCAAGAAATTTGGAAAACTCAACAGTTGCCACAAGACTGGAAAAGGTCAGTCTACATCCTAATCCCAAATAAAGGTAATGCCAAAGAGTGCTACAATTATCGAATAATTGCACTAATTTCACATGCCAGCAAGGAAATGCTTAAGATCCTACAAGCTCCACTCAGACAATATATGGACCGTGATTTACCAGATGTACAAACTGGGTTCTGCAGAGGACAAGGCACAAAAGATTAATTTGCCTATGTACAATGGATAATAGAGAAAGCCAGAGAGTTCCAGAAAAAACATCTACTTCTGCTTCATAAACTATTCTAAAGCCTTTGACTTTATGGCTCACAACAATCAGTTAGTCTGTCCATCTCGATGGCAGTAAGTGTACACGATGATATTACCAAACAAAGACATATCTAGATAATTAAAAGAACATACAATTATTGCATATCTAATATACATATGTTTAATAGTCTTGCAGGGACTACCACTTAATTTGTGTTGTGCCTGTATCATAAGCATATCATAATCAAAAGCAATTGTAAAGTTTGATTTTTGAACTAAATTAACAATATTACCACTTGTCCTTGGTGTACAATAAAAGGCTAGCACAGGCAAAACAAACAAATTTATTTTGAGTTCAGTTGATTGTCCCCCAGATAGAAACATAGAAACATAGAATGTGATGGCAGATAAGAACCATTCGGGCCATCTAGTCTGCCCAATTTTCTAAATACTTTCATTAGTCCCTGGCCTTATCATATAGTTAGGATAGCCTTATGCCTATCCCACGCATGCTTAAACTCCTTTACTGTGTTAACCTCTAAAACTTCAGCTGGAAGGCTATTCCATGCATCCACTACCCTCTCAGTAAAGTAATACTTCATGATATTATTTTTAAACCTTTGTCCCTCTAATTTAAGACTACGTACTCTTGTTGTGGTAGTTTTTCTTCTTTTAAAGTGGCAATATTATGGCAGAATCCCGTTTTTTTTAAAACCCCTCCCGCTTCCACTACCTCTAATTGACCCCCTAGTCACTCCCAAATACCACTAAGCCCCACATATTACCTGTTTTTTAATCTTTATTTTCTGCCCCGATCTATATTCAGGGCGCCACCATCTTTGTGTGTGTAGATGAAGTCCCTGTGGGACACGTCATCTGCCCACACTAGACTGACAGACTGTGAGACACTTGGACATGCGAACGGGAATTTCATCTATTCATTCATTCATCAGAAAGACGAATGAATGATTAGAAATGTCAGACGAACAAACAAACACCGAATATCAGTGTTCGTTTGTTCGTTCAGTTTATTACAAGGAGGGAGCTACACAGCTCCCTCCTTGTAATATGTAACTATAGAAGCGGCAGGGAGCAATGCTCCCCGCCACTTCATAAGCCCCCCAAGTCCCCCCCTCACTCTATGGGGGTCAATATGACCCCCATAATAGCATAAGTGAGATTAATATCTCCCCAATGCCCCTACTCGCTATACCGCGAGTAGGGGCATGTCCACTAACTAGTGAGCAGCCTGTGGCTCCTCACTGTTTAAAAAAAACCCTACTAAATAACAATAAGGAGGGGGGGATCTACTGTCCTCCCCCCCTGGCCCCCACCCTTGAGTGGTGGATGGGGGCCCTATATAAGAATGGTGGGGACCTACTGTCCCCCCCGAAAGGTGGGTGGGGGCCCTAAAAAACCATAAGGTGGGACCTACTGCCCAGCCCTCACCCCTGAGCAGTGGGTGGGGGCCCTAAAAAACAATAAGGGGGAACATGCTATCCTCCCCCCTGGTCCCAACACCTGAGCAGTGGGAGGGGGCCCTAAAAAACAATAAGGGGGACCTACTGTCCTCCCCCCTGGCCCCCACCCCTGAGCGGTGGGTGGGGGCACTAAAAAACAATAGGGGGGGACCTACTGTCCCCCCTTTACCCCACCCCTGAGCGGCGGGAGGGGGCCCTAAATTAAAATTCCTCCCCAATCAAGGTGACTAGGGGTCCCAAGCCCTTAGTCACCCCCCACCCAAATAAAACTATCCCCTAACTACCCCCCTCACCCTAAAAATAGTGAGGGGGGAATAAAATAACTAACCTGTAAACAAAAATTAAACTTACCAATTGACGTCTTCTTTTTTCTAAAATCTTCACTATTCAGCCCCAAAAGAAGCTAAATAAAAAGCCATCATACCCGTCGAACTTAAAATAAAATAGAAAACACTATGCTGCCGAAAAAGAAAAAAAACAGACGCTAAAAAAATGAATCCATCTTCACCCATGGAGGGCTCTGCGCAGACTGAGCTATGCAGGGTGGGGGAAGGCTTATAAAGCCTTCCCCCGTCCTGCAATTAGGCTAAGAACACTGATTGGTTGGTTTAAGCCAATCAGAGTGCTCTTTGTCATTTTACACAGCTTGGGAAAATTCCAAAGAACTTTACATAGCGTGGGAAAATTCCAAAGAACTTTCCCACGCTGTGTAAAATGACACAGAGCACTGTGATTGGATGGATTTCAAGCCACCCAATCAGAGTGCTCTGTGTCATTTTACATAGCGTGGAAAAATTCCAAAGAACTTTTCATGCTTTGGTGCGTAGGCTGAAACATGGTTGGTGGCAGTCGTCCGTCACCATCTGTAACTTACACAGGAAGGGATTCTTTGAATTTTCCCCACGCTATGTAAAATGACACAGGCTATAACGATGAATGGTTTCAAGGCGCATTAGGTGTATTTTATGGCACGTTGTTTTTAAAACACTGCGGTGGTGCTCTGGGTGAGCCAACCACCGTCAAATTGGCGGCTGGTAGGGAGAGGAAAAACTTTATAAGCAGCAGCACCTGCAAACTCAGTCTGGCTCCATGAGCAAAGATCAGATGATACACAGCGTCAATTTTTAGATCTGAATTTTTTGCGGTTTTTATTTATTTTAAGTTAAAACTTGTGCTAAACTGTTTGGCCTTTGGGGCTGAAAAATAAGGTACAGAAAAAGATGTCAAATAATGGAGTAATTTTGTTTACAAATTGATTAACCCCCTCACTATTTTGTGGTAGTATTTAGGTGTGTTGTGAAAAAGCATAATGAGCTTAATGCTTTAGACGCACCACTAGATGTCAGTAAAGCATATTTAGTGTAATGCTTTGGGGGCACCACTAGGGGGAGTGTGTAGGAAGACCTGTGCTTCTGGCAGTGACATCACAGGCCAGCCTACTTACACTGAATAAAAACCAGATGTTAGGAGAAGCAAGCTCTCTGTTTTTGCCTGTACCTGACTGATCATGTAGTACTAGCTCTGACTTAACCCCAGCCAAAGGGCTGGGGCCTTGTAAGTAAAATGTTGAATAACAGCTAGCAACTGTTATAGCCTTTTGTAAGTAATGTTGTAGTTTTGTATTGTGTAATTATTGTGGTAAATTGACATTCTGCTAGCATTTGTTTAATTATTATAATTATATTAAATATACATTTAATACTACAATGTTTTGTGTATTTCCTATTATATATTCGACCATAATACCGAACTCTATTAATGTTATTTGTTGCTTAATTATTATATATTAATTATTAAATTAATATTCATATTTAAGTCACGACTGTAACACTTGGCGACGAAGATGGGATTATGCTGGAATATTAGGGAAAATACAAAAGTTATGCATTTTGTTTAATACATAGTCAATTGTCTGTCTGTATACAAATGAATAAATTAATGATGATTTGGTTTTAATGGAATGAATGCAGATAGCAAATAGGGATTAGATATTTGTTTTTAATGTATCTCTTGCTGTAGAACATAGTGATGAATTATTGTGTTGCTTGTTACCAATCCTTGGTCATTTGTATATAGGAGAAAACTTATATATACTTTACCTTTTGTCTGACCATGTGGATTTTAATCCACCATTGACCACATGGTGTGAATGAGTTGAGGCCTAGTTTCATTGTTTGCTACCATTTGCATAGGAAAAGACTTTTCACTAAACTAGTTCACCAGGTTTTATTGCTAAATTTGACCCTGTTTGTGTACTGATTTACATTTGTTTGGCATTCATGGATTTGTCTAGTAAATTAGTAGTTAAGAAAAAGATACGTTTAGTAAAGCAGATGCAGTGAATAATAGATTTATGTGTGCGTATACACAGAATATTAGTATAAATATATATATGATTTTGACTCATGAAGGAGAGACCACCTTTTTAACAGCTGTGTGACCATGCTTTTCAGCTACAGCTGGGGGAGAATTTGTCCTTGTTGGGGGTGGGTAGTCTTGCTGTATGAGAAAAAATAAACTGCATTGTTTTGTAAATGTAATTGCCTAAACTAATCAATTTGTGGAGTGTTTTTCAGCTTTATTATTCAGGACTAAGGAATTACTGGACATGTGCAGGAACTGGTAACAAATGAACTGAAAACATGGTAAAATAATTCCTTTG